GGAAACATACACCTGGTGCTAGGAATAATAGGCACAACTAATTGTGAAATAGTGTGTACACTGAGCAAAGAACAGTGCACGGCTCCCAGGGTGTGCAGTGTGCAGGCACGAAGGCTCCAGTCACACATGGTCATTTTGGGATTGCGGCAGAATCACTGCAATTCTGCTGCGATCTCAAAATGCACTACCATTGCTAAACTACTGTAAGATTCCGGTGCCATTATTTTCAATGCGACCTAAACGCAGTGTAGTTTTGCCGCGATTGTTGTACGATTTATCACACGACAAATCGCATTGCATGAATTTTGTCACCCAAAAGAAGCTCCTGCTCCTTTTTGAGCGTCAAGCTTAATGTGGTACTAAACCCATGACCCTGCATTCACTATATCTGGTTTCCCACAGAACATGGGAATGCAATTATTTTAGTAAATATAAACTGCTAAATACCTTTTCTCATTAGCAGTATATATCAGTTTTGTGACTTCTATCAGTGTCCAGCAGAGCACTGGTTAAAGCTTGTAGGAGGAGTTTTATTCTCCCCTGATTGTCCTGAGAGGATGCATAACCACTGACCCTCTGTCTGGACAGTGCTGATTGGCCATGTGCTGATCACATGCACTCTCCCAAGAAAAGAAAAAATACAATGCACACCAAGCTGAGCATGTGCAGCTTGTCCCAAGGCTCTGTTCTATCAGCAGATGGGTTGGGGACAGTAGAAGAAGGGGAGGATCAGGGAAGACAGTATCAAACAGCGCTTTTTACACAATGCAGAGGATTAACCCCTTAGGTTCCACAGTGAGTATAACAAGCATGCTTTACTGCTTCTACAGACTGATTTTACGGTTGTGGGTTCAGTAACACTTTATCGTGATGCGATTTGCCTCAGTTGCCCAGCAATAAATTGCATGACAATCGCTGCAACACCATGCTGCGTTTTAGGTGCCATTAAAAATAATGGCACCTGAAGCTGCGTTTTGTGACTATAGTGTGTTTTGAGATCACAGGCAGAATCGCAGAGATTTTGTGGAGATCCCAAAACCCCCAGGTTTACATTGGAGCCAAACACAGGAAACACTTGGCCAGGTAGCACAGTGGCGGAAGAGCGTTGAGATGAACAGAGCCTCTTCGCTGTACCAGTCAGCTCCTCAGGCTCTCTCCTCAGTTCTTGCCGCTCTCTACACAGACATCTTCCTTAGCAAAGAAGCTAACAGTCTTGGAGAGATATGCTGACAATGGAGGCATTGCAAGCTAGGCAATGGGCTGGATGTGGCCCGGAAGCAACAATGGCATGGGAGGGACTAGAAACTATGGACTATGGGAAAGACGAGGGACAATGGGCTATCTTATCCATAACAACCAACCAGATTTAAAAGAAATGGTGTTTGGTCTCCCTATCATTTGGGTTGTTTACTCCTTCCCTTTGGCATCTTGGAGTATTATATCATACCATACTCCAGACTGTAAGTGTTACAGATGTCGCACAGCTAAGTCAGGGAAGGGAGACTAATGGTGGTGTGCTGATGGGAATGGATGGACACTGGTGTTTACATGAGGAAAGCTGATGCTGAGTTGGGGATGGGGTATTGATCTTTCTCGGGACAGGTATGGGAGAGTTATATGTTCCTGCTGGGCTTGGGGGCCTCTATGGTGTTTCAAGGGCTTTGCTGGGGGAGGGTGAGATACTTTGTAGACACTACACTGGGTTTTGCACAGAACAGCTAAATTCCAGCAAAAACATCATAGAGGTTTTAACTCTTCGCCACTCTAATCAGAACTAAACTGAATATTTTTATCTGGATCTCATTCCACCCAACTAAGCAATCATCTACAGTCACAAACATTCATAATGATATAAATAAATCTGAAAATATACAAAGTACACACAAGAGTTTATTAATAAATACATTGTTTCTTCATTGCAAAATATGAATGTTACATATTTATTTATTACAGGTAATTAAAAAGCACTGACAATTTACTAAGTGCTTTACATATATCGTACCTTCACAACAGTCCCTGCTCTCAAGGAGCTTACAATCTACAGCCTCTGTCTCACATGTATACTGTACATACACAAGCCAAAAAAAGTAAAAAAAAAGTATGAAGTTCATTAAAAAAAATTGCTCACCTACCTGATTTTAGCTGATATTTGGCTTAACAGTTTGTAAAGGTGGTGCTCTTTCCACTAACCACCAATGCAAGAGGCATTCTTCCCACTAACCTTTGATAAACCCATTTTAGCAGAGGTTCCCCAAGACCTAAAAATTATGTTAAGGGTCCTCTGGGATAAAAATGTTAACTACTTTATTACTGTGCCATGGCTAAAAAATGGCTACAGCATGGTTTTCTTGTTCTGGGAGGGCGTCTATAGACACCCTTTGGACACAGGTAATCACAGATTGAGGTAAAGGGCCAATCACCATGCAGGTAGCCTGATGTAAATGGACGTAAGGAAGAGATCATAGATCTAACAAGGGTCCGCCACAGTCTGCTGTTAAAATGCAGACAAAAACTGAATGGGCTAAGATTTCACAAATATGGCATCCATCCCATTCTGCTCTGGTACAGCAGGGGATCTGCTCATGGATCCCCTCTTCTGAACGGAGTACACACAGCCCATGTGAAAGGACCCTTATACCACCTTGTATGGTTGTGTGCTACAATGTGCTGTAGCACAGGTACATTCTGTACATGTGTTAAGAAATTATTGTCATCCCAATACATTACAGCCATGCTTTGTGCATTACAGTGCAGTTCTGTAACATGCATATTCTGCTGTATTGAACTTCAGTAGTTTCACTTTTTTTTTACAGCTGGTAAATTGTGGCATGAAATGAAAAACAGACAGGAGAATTCATTCCTTCTTTGCAGCTGCTGTGGCATTTGACAATGCTGGGCCAATCCCAAAACATCAGCGCTGTTACATATGAAAAAGGAGATGATCCCCCCCCACACACACACACATACACACACCCAAAAATACCTGGGTGAATGAATAAATTGGCTGGAGAGTGAAGGAAAATTGGATGATGCTTGAAGGAGGGCATTAAAGGGTCTTTTAGCAATGGGTTACATCAAATAAATTCAAATTTTACCCTGAAAGTTCATTATTTCCTATCAACAAGATAATTATGTAACATGGACTATGGGAAAGAGGTATTTTTACTATATCCCAGTCATTTTAAATGTGGAATTTGAAATGTTCAGGAGCCATCTTCTAATCATGATGCACTGGCTAAACTGCAGTCATAGTAATCCATGGGACTTCTTCATAGTCCAGAGGTAAGGAGTCACACCAGAACAGTCCTTTATGGCAGTGGTCCCAAACTGCAGCCTTCGTTTGCCTTTATCCAGCACCTGGGGCATTGCTCTTCCCACTGACACCAACAAACGGGCACTGTTCCGCCTACTGACACCAAAGACGAGGCATAACTGCTCCCACTGACTTCTATCATGGGGCACTATTCCTTACTACATGCACGATGTTAATTTGTTTTTACTCCCACTGACCACCAAGTGAATAGCAAGCGTCAGCTCCATTCATTAAAGCCAAGAACCCAACATGTTTTGCCCAACCCCCAGGAGTTAATCATGGAGGACCTGAGGGCGGGACAAAACATGTTGGGAGCATGGTTTGGATGAATTGAGCTGTGGCTGTTTTTACTTGCTAACCACTCGGGCCAGGGCGAGGTGTGCGGCGGTCAGGTAATCTTTTTCTATTTCTACAGCATGCTTTGGGTCTAGACGAACATTTCCGCAGCCTGCACCCTCACTAGTCAGCAGCATCCAATCCATTGGACCTTGTTAACATGAGTGGAGGCCACTATTTATCATAGGTCACACTGACCACCAAGTCTGAGTCATTTTCTACTCCCCCTGGCCAAAGTCCAGCCTCCCAAGGTCTGAAGGACAATAAACCAACCCTTTATTTAGAAGGTTTGGAGACCCCTGCTTTACAGATTCCCAACCAATCAGCTCCCTTTTAGAATTCAGAGCAATAGTAGTACAACTCAGTTATTCTTTGTACATTGGAAGTTTATATTGGTTAGCAATATGAAAAAGAGTGGGGATTTTCATGTACCATGGCTAAAAGGTAAACTCCAGCCTGGATAATGTATATATTTCTGGAAAATATATACATATAGTAAGAGAATACCACTAGCTAGTGACTATTTTTTATTGTCAACTGCAGAAGCATTTATACAAAATGTTACCAGTAAGCTCACATTAGGACTTGAGTATAATGCAGATGTGGAAGAAACAAAAGTGCAATATGAGGCCTTGTATGTTATGGCTATCTTGGATCTACAACTCTTAGAAAAGAAGAATCATGATATCTATGATTGGTTATCGGAATAGTCACTTATAATCTCGAGTCTGTGGCTATATTTGCTTTTTCCCTCTAATACTAGCCATACCCCTAATAATAAATTATTGATGGACTGGAGACTGACTGTACCAACATATTTTGTTAATAAAAAAAAATTGTTCAATACAACATAGTAAAGGACTGAGTTGATCAAATTGGATTCGATTTTTCATCAGTACGGATTATTTCTTAAAAAATAAAAAATATTGTTTATTGATCAAAATGCCTATTTAGTGCATTTCGTTTTTGAAATATATGAATCTTTCAGCAAATAATATATTGTTACATACTATACTGTATATCACCACACAAAAGTAGAAAACCATTTACAAAAATATATTATTCATATCTATAAATGCTATTGACATAGCATACGTTTAGCTGTATGATGGCTTTTGTCGGGAGTTGTCCTTTACTTGCAGCTGATCTTCTAATGGCCCAGGTTTGTGTCTTTGCTGAGCTTGGGTCTGGCTCAATCCACTCTGAAGGTTTCTGGCAGGGGCGGACTGACCACTCGGGCACTGCCCGAGGGCCCAGGGTCAGTAGGGGGCCCCATGAGATGCCCCTAGTACCTTTCATAGGCTTTTTTGGGTGTGGTTTGAGTGTGGGCGAGGACACAGGGGCCCCATGATCACCTATTGCCCGGGGGGCCCCATGAGTTGTCAGTCCGACCCTGGTTTCTGGCTTTCCTCCTCTCCACAGAGGTACGGAGAGCTTTTATGATCAGATCCTTGTGGTTTAAGAGATTATATTGTGTCAGCTCCATCAGCCGGTCAAAGTCTCGTTCACTGTAAGTAAAGTTTGTGAGAAAATATGGAGACCAAGCTCCTGTAACATCCACATCCCCATCTGACATTTCTTCTGAAGTCCTCAAAAGCCCTACAAATATATAAAGGAAATCCATTAAATACCATGTTAAAGAAAATTGATACCATTTAAATAAGGTGTGTGAGGATAGGCTACAGTCTCAGAATTGCCTGAGTAGTTCATAGCTTTTTTAGGATTGCAGAAATGGATTAGGAAAGACTCAGTTTGCACTGACAACATACCCAGGCACAGGGTTTTTTTAAAGTGAAAACATGGGAGAGCGCAGTTTCGGCACTTCCAGCACTGAAAGTATGTCATAGGGATGCTGGGGTGTGCTGGAGGGTCTATTGATGCTGGCTGCTGGGAGATCTATTGTTGATGGAGGGGTACTTTTGTTGCTAGGGTGTCTTATGTTTCTGGGGGGGTCATTTGTGCTAGAAGGGATCTGTTATTGAGGGAGTGGTGTGTTATTGCTGGTTGCAGATCTATGGTTGTTGGGGGGAGTCTATTGTTGTTGTTCTGCCTGCAGGTGATCTATTTTACTAGGGTTTTTTTTTTTTATCATTAATAATTTCCATACAAATTACTTAGCACCACAAAATTATACTTGGTTCTCTATTATATAAAAGGGGCAATACGGAGTGTTGGGTACAGTGTGGAACCAAGGGACAGTGCTCAGAGGTGGGTAGGGGGCAGAGACAAGGGTGACCTGAAGAAGGGAGTTCCTGCACCTATTCTGACAAAAAAAAACCCTACCCAGGCATAAAAAATAAATTGTATACATTATATACCTAGTCATGCAGATTTCAACCAAGCTAATAAAACCGTAGCAATTTTAGAAAAAAATAAATTCGGAATGAAAATCAAATGAATATCAAATGAATAATAATGAATGATAAACCCCAAACTGAAATATGCATGCAACAAACATATGACCAATCAGCTATAATTTTTATATACACCGGCTACACAAGGACTGCTTTGGCATAGAATGAAGAGGACGCACCTGGTTCTTTATATGTTCGGAAAGTGTCATTAACCAGAGGGAAGTGAAGCACTATGGGAGCGTTAGGATTATCTTCATCTTTAAAAATGTAGCACTCCTTGTGTTTCTTTCTGTCCTCCTCACTCAGAGATACTCTGGGGAAACAGATACCCTGCGTTGTACAGTAAGTACATGTCTGTTCCACGGACTGTAAACAGAAAGAATTGAGATCAATAATTTATTCTGCCTCTCAGTATCACTGAAGAGGTTTTCATTTTCATAGGTGATAAATAAAGTCTTCAAGAAAATATAGTAATCACTTATTAAAAAAAAAAAAAACACATTATTTTATTAGTAGGGTGAAAAATGATGAAGTATACCGTATCAGGGGCAGACTGACCATTTGGAAACTCGGGCACTGCCCGAGGGCCCGGGGTCAGTAGGGGGCCCCATGAGATGCCCCTGGTTCCTTTTTCATAGGCTTTTTTGAGTTTGGGCAAGGACACAGGGGCCCCGTGATCCCCTATTGCCCAGGGGCCCCATGAGTTGTCAGTCCGCCCCTGCACCGTCCCCTCTCCCCTCCTCTCTTTTCCATATCTTCTCCAGACTAATGTATCTCAGATGGATATACGGTGAGGTATTATAAAAAATATAAAGAACTTTTAGTACCTAAATTAAAAATATATATGAATGCATTGGGGGGAGAGATGGAAATGAGGTGGGAATCCCTACAGGCACATGTAGTTCTCATTCATAAAGAAGGAAAGGATGTTACTCAATGCTCAAGCTATAGACCGATTTCTTTACTGAACACAGATACTAAATTATACGCAAAGGTTCTGGCAAATAGGTTGAAGGACCTAATGCCTGAATGGATACATGTGGATCAGGTGGGCTTTGTTCTGGGGAGAGAGGGTAGAGATAACGGTTTGAGATCCTTGTTCCTCATCCATAAAAGTAGAAAAGACAAACCCCTGTGGTGGTGCTCTCGAAAAGGCATTTGATAGGGTAGATTGGGGATATATGATGGATACACTGGAAGTACTGGGGATGGGAGTTAGAATGAGAGAATGGATAGGGAAGTTACACAATATACCCTCTGCAGCAATCATCGTCAATGGAGATCTATCAGAGTATTTTGGGATGCTAAATGGAACAAGACAAGGATGCCCTCTGTCTCCACTATTATATGTTCTGTCATTAGAATCTCTACTGTCTACAATAAGGAATAATGTGGATATAAAGGGAATATGGATAGGAGGCACAGAGCATAAGGTGGCAGCTTATGCGGATGATATGTTGTTCTATGTGGGGAACCCTAGGATGACTTTTCCAAACTTAATGAAATCACTGAAACAGTATGGGGAGATATCAAACTTAAAAATGAATCCAACAAAAAAAGAGATCTTAAATATAAACCTTCCAAATAGAGAGAAAAATAAGATACAAGAGGCATTTCCCTTCGTTTGGAGAGAAAAAGAATTAAAATATCTAGGAATAAAGTTAACTGCCCCCTCCAAAAACTTATATAAATCAAAGTATATTCCATTGGTAAATGAGATTAAGGAAGAACTAAGGAAACTAGGGAGGGGTACCCCATCATGGATAGGTCTTATATAAATTTCAAATGATACCAATTAAACTCCCAGAAGCATATTTTAAAATAATTTAAAAAATGATAATAAGATATATTTGGAGGAATAAAAAACCAAGAATAGGTTATGAAATTTTAAGTAGAAATGAAGAGAAAGGTGGACTGGGAGTACCAGATTTTAAAAGATACTATAACTCGGTAATATTGGCAAGAATTTTTGACTGGACGCATAACGCAAAAGGGAAAAGCTGGGTTAAAATTGAAAAACGTACTAAGTAAAAAACTAATTTAAATAGGATCATATGGGTGCCCACACAATATCGAGGATTAGCAGAGAGCACAAGTTGGTTCACAATAAACGTTTTAAGAGTTTGGGATATATTGCACAGACAGAAGGGATGGGAATTTAATTCACTGTTAATGCCCTTAGAGTCTACAGAGTTTAAAGAAGGCATCAAAGGGAAGTGGATTAAGAAGGAGGATGCACAATTGAGGGACATAATGGTGGGGGAGGAAATGGGTTCATTTAAGGATTTGAAAATTTAAAAAAAAAAAAAAAAAAAAAAAAAAAAGGGACTCTGTGCAGGCCAGTCAAGTTCCTCCACCCCAAACTCTCTCATCCAAGTCTTTATGGACCTTGCTTTTTGCACTGGTGTGCAGTCATTTTGGAACAGGAAGGGGCCATCCCCAAACTTTTCCCACAAATTAACCAAAATGTCTTGGCATGCTGATGCCTTAAGAGTTCCCTTCACTAGAACTAAGGGGCCAAGCCCAACCCCTGAAAAAGAGCCCCACACCATAATCCCCCCTCCACCAAATTTTACATTTGGCACAATGCAGTCAGGCAAGTACCGTTCTCCTGGCAACCACCAAACCCAGACATGTCCATCGGATTGCCAGACATAGAAGCTTTGATACATCACTCCAGAAAACACATCTCCACTGCTCTAGAGTCCAGTGGTGGCGTGATTTAAGCCACTGCATCTGACGCTTTGGATTGCACTTGGTCATGTAAGGATTGGCTGAAGCTGCTCGGCCATGGAAACCCATTCCATGAAGCTCTCTATGCACTGTTGTTGTCCTAATCTGAAGGCCACATGAAGTTTGGAGATCTTTAGCTATTGACTCTACAAACAATTGGCAACATCTGCGCACTGTGCGCTTCAACATACGATGACCCCGCTCTGTCATTTTACGTGGCCTACCACTTCGTGGCTGAGTTGCTGTTGTTCCCAAATGCTTCCACTTTGTTATAATAGCATTAACAGTTGACCATGGAATATTTAGTGGCAAGGAAATGTCACAGATGGACTTATTGCACAGATGGCAATCTATCACGGTACCATGCTTGAATTCACTGAGCTCCTGAGAGCAACCCATTCTTTCCGAAATGTTTGTAGAAGCAGTCTGCATGCCTAGGTGCTTGATTGTATACACCTGTGGCTATGGAGGTGATTGGAACACCTGAATCCAATGATTTGGACAATACTTTTGGCAATATAGTGTATGTATATACAATTTGTATATTAATTTAATATTAGACAAATAATTTAAAAGGAAAATGATCACTTGAACAAATAAAAATTAAAATACAATTAAAAATGTTATTAGGTTTCAAATATATAGTGTCACAGTAAAAGGAGATGCAGGAAAAAGAATTAGGTAATAAGCTGACCATTTGAAAACAATAAAGAACACCATGCAAATGTAATTTCGTAATTTTTTTTCAAGCAATGAACTTAGCACTGCTAGTAAATAATGAATAGTACTATAGAGTTAACGTGAACTGATATGTTAGCTTAAAGCAGACCGTAGCCAGAAACTATCTTGAATTTTTCCCTGCTTTCTCCTCCTTCACTCTCTCATGTTTAGATATTAACCACTAGCCCTCCCAAGGATTTACCCCCCTTCCTGAACAGGCCATTTTTTGCATTACGGCGCTGCGTTACTTTAACTGACAATTGCGTGGTCATGCAACGCTGCGCACAAATTAACTTTATGTCCTTTTTTTCCCATTAATTGAGGTTTCTTTTGGTGGTATTTGATCGCCTGTGTGTTTTTTATTTTTTGCGCTATTAAAAAAAAAGCAACAATTTTGAGAAAAAAAAACTATATTTTTGACTTTTTGCTATTAAACATGTCCAGTAAAAAAAATGTAAAAAAATCAAATTTTGTCATAAATTTAGGCCAAAATGTATCCTGCGACAAAAAAATCCTAATACGTGTAAATTAATTGGTTTACGTGAAAGTTATAGCATTTACAGATGGCGGTATATATACTGGGATTTTTTTTTTTTACTTTTTACTAGTAATGGCAGCGATCAGCGACTTATAGCTAGACTGCGGCGGGCATTCTGACACTGGGGGGAACTGACTTGGTGTCACTGACATCCCCAGTGACACCAATACAGCGATCAGTGCTAAAAAAAAAAAAAAAAGCACAGGCACTATACTAATGGCACTAAGCAGGAAGGGGTTAACATGAGGGGCGATCAAAGGGCTAACTGTGTGCAGGGAGTGTTTTACTAGGGGGCAGTGTGCTTCACTGTAATCACACTGCTTTGGATGGCTTTGCTGTGCACAGCCATCCAGAGAAGTGTGCCCGAGCTGACAGGGAGAACTGTTATTAAACAAAACTGTTCTCCTCCCCGTCGGAGATCTTCGGAAGTCACCGGGCGTCAGGGAGTAATTACCGGCTTGGACCCGGTGATTAACAGCTGCGGCCGCGAATAGCGGCGCGGGTAGGGTATATACGTGATTTTGCACACCCGTGCCGTTCTGTAGCAGTATTTCTGCTCTAGGGCGGCGGGAAGCGGTTCATTTTATTAATGGATTTTTTTCTATATTTCCTGCCTACGTGAGAGACATACAACTCCCACCCCGTCCCATAGGTAGAGGTTGTCAGAACCACTGCCCAAAGGGCACACAAAGAGGAATATTAATAGTTTTTTTTACCCTAATCTAACCAACTGATAAAATATCTTTGTGGAAAACCATGTAGTCATATTATTTTTAATCTCTTACATTTGATTATGATAATTGAAAAATGGTTGCAATGTGCTTACCTGAAGAGGGGTATCTAGAGTATAATCAAATGACAGAATGATATCGACCTTCCTCTCCGGCCGCAGTAATGGAGGAAAGCTGGCATTGATAAAGTAACCAGCATCTACAAGGCACAGGTTGTCAGCCATTGGGGTGAGCTTGTTAGGGAAGTTGTCTAAACTGGAATCTAAAAGACAAAAACATACACCTTGTCAATGAGAAAACTTTATTTTTTGTTTTTGGAAACCATGGAAAAAAATTAAAAAGCGAACTCTAGGCAGATATAAAATAATGCAGCTCTGTAGCCATTATGACATCATTAAGCCTTGGTTCACATATAGACTTTTCTGTGGAGCCAGTTCCCATACAGTAACCAGGCCAGCCGCAATGCGATTTGAAAAATAGCCCTGTGTGATTTTCAGTCTGGTTCAGCTACAATTTCCAATCTCAAATACTTGAACAATTCTCATTGGAATCGCACCTGAACCACTGAACAAGATCGCACCATATTGGGCTTTAAAAATCGCACTGCAAACCATCCTGCACATATGTGAACACAGGCCAAATGTATTTTTAAAGTGGTGCAAGCACCTGAATTTTCCCTGGTATCGGCATTTTGCAGTCCCTATACAACAGGGCTAGAGGATAAAAACCAGTACAAAGAGCCAATCAGTCCATATACTACTATAAACATGTTGATAGGAGGAAAAAGCAAAGAGATGGATTAGAGAACCACAGCTGCTTCTCCTTTCACTGTCCACTTACAGGCTGGGGCAGGTCCAGAACAACCTGGGCTCAGAAGCAGTGGGTTCAAGGATTCAAAGATGCTGACCATCAGACAGAGGATTTCTAGTGGCAGAAAAAAGCACTAATGGGGACATTTCTCACATAATAGTGATTATTATAGCAAAAGCTGGTTTTGTTATTTTGTATTTTAAATGGGTACTGACCCTATACTGTAAGTGGAAATGTTCCTTCACCTTCTGTCCCTGTGCCTACCATATAGGAAATAAGACAGGAAGGCACTGATAGCAATAAAAACATTCTAACAATAAAAAGTTCTAACACATTTTTGGGAAGGGAAAATTATTTTTTTGTCTGTGTCCTCATTGTGGAGATTTCTCATTACTTCCTGCTCTGAGATGAAGTGGGACAAAATCTCCATAGCAGGGGCAGCAAAAACAATAAAAACACGACAGAGTCTCAAATAATTCCTTATTCTAACAAAAATGTTTGAATAGAGTAGGGAAAGGTTAAACAACTATCAGGTATTTTTTGTTATCCATGTCTATTTTTTTCCCTTCGTTCCTGAATTTTGCCCCTCTTTCAGTCCCAGGGACACTGGTCACCAGGACTAATATAGAGCAAATCTGCATAGCATAGTTGGAACCAGGGCTGCTGTTAGAAAACATGGTGTCCCATATAGCCAACCTGGCAGAGCCCCCTTCAAAAAAAAACAAAAAAAAAACAGTTTACTATGCTTCAGCTCTGAATGAACACCGTGAGAGATCAATGCCAATCACTCATTGTGTTCATTCATGAAAGGAACAGGCTGGTTAATGTGACATATTTATCGGACCCTTCCCTCTCTACATCCTGAAGGATCCTATTGTGTGCTTGCAGCTGCCAGTGAAGAGGAGAGGAGGGAAGCCGGCTCTGTGGGGGCACAGGCAGCTGGGTGAATCAGATGTGCACAGGGAGGGTGGTTGGCATCGTGGGCAGGGGGAGGTAATTACTGGAACCGATCCCCTGTAGGGCTCTTTCCCCGGATTGGTTTCAGTAATTGCCTAACCCCCCCCCCCCCCCCCCCCACCGTTCCAATCACCCTCTCTGCCCACATCTTATTCACCCCCCCCTGCTGGCCTGGGCCCCGTACAGGAGGAATGGTGGTACCCCCTTATCCACGGCCTTGGTTGGAACACAGGGCACAAAAAAACCTAAAAATACAGTATATAGAAGGGTACCAAAGATAAAAAAGTATAATGTAATTGTGATAAACAATATTAAGGAAGCTGCCCCTTTAAGTATAACATTTTAAGGCTCCATGCACACTAGCATTTTTTTAAGCTCAAAAATGCTGGATAAAAAAACACTGGTAATAGCGTTTTTAGTAGTGTTTTAGTAGCGTTCAGCAGCATTAAGGAGTGTTTAGGAGCATTAGAGTTTATTACAGTTTTTGTAGTACAAGTAGAAGAAAAAAACAAAAGCTAGAAAAAAACCTGTTAGGAGTTTTTGAATAGCGTTTAGGAGCATATAGCATTTTTTCTGCTGGAAATACACCACAAAAAACTCTACTAGGCTCCATGCACATTAGCTGTTTTACAAGCTCCTAGAAGCTATTAGCATATTTTTTCTGCTCCTAGAAGCTACATAGTGTTATCCTATGTGGCCATGCGCATTATTTTAGGCTATTAGTGTTTTTTGAGCTTCAGCATCTAGGAGCAGAAAAAAATAGTTTTTGTAGCGTTTTTCCAACAGAAAAAACGCTAAACGCTCTTAAATGCTACTAAGATGCTCCTAACAGCTTTTTTCTAGCTTTTTTTTTCTACATGTACTGTAAAAACACCAATAAAGTAACACTCCTAAACGCTACTAAAAACGCTATTATCAGCATTTTTTATCCAGCATTTTCTCCAGCATTCTTGGAGCTTAAAAAAAATGCTAATGTGCATGGAGTACAAAAAAATGCTGGTAATAGCGTTTTTAGTGGCATTTAGAAGTTTTTAGGAGCATTAGCACTTTATTTGTGTTTTTACAGTACACGTAGAAAAACACCCCCAAAGAAAACTGTACAAAAACAATTTTTTTCTGTTCCTAGATGCTGAAGCTCAAAAAATGTGAATAGCGTAAAGTAGTGTGCATGGACACATAGGAGGACACTAATTAGCTTCTAGGAGAAGAAAAAAATGCTAATAACAGCTTCTAGGAGCTTAAAAATCTGCTGTGAATGGAGTCTAGTAGAGTTTTTTTGTAGTGTATTTTCAGCAGAAAAAACGCTACATGCTCCTAAACGCTACTAAATCACTCCTAACAGGTTTTTTCTAGCTTTTTTTTCCTCTACATGTACTATAAAAACTCTAATAAAACTCTAATGCTCCTAAACACTCCTTAATGCTTCTGAACACTACTAAAACACTATTACCAGCATTTTTTATCCAGCATTGTTGAGCTTTAACCAATACACGCCCGGCCAATAGCCAATAGCTGTATTGGATTTCCGGGTGGACGCCAAATGGCGTCCTCCCGCACATGTGCACTTTTCGCGCTTGCAGAGCCGCGCAGATCTGTCTGTGTACCTTGGACACGGCCGGCCGATGACAGATCCGAGTATCGGCCCCGTTGCCGGTACCATGTGACCTGCTATGACCAATCACCGCAGGTCACATGACAGTTGTATACAATAGATGGCTTCATTCATGCCATCCATTGTATACTACTCCCTAGCTGTGAATGGTCACAGCTAATCACATGCACATGTCATGTGATTAGCTGTGGCCAAATCACAGCTAAGCACAAAAAAAAAAAAAAAAAAAAAAACCCTGAATGAATCGATTTCATTCAGGTAAATGCTTGCTTATAGTACAGTAATTCTTTGCTATAAGCAAATTGTGTAAGAAAAAAAAAAAAAAAAAAAATATACTGATCACTTCCCCAAAGTAGTACAATGTTACTATGGTAACATTGTACTACTTTGGTCATAGTGAAATATGAAAAAAAATCTTAAATTTTTTTTTTAAAAAACCGTAATAAAAAAATTAAAAATAATAAAAAAAATATATATATATTTTTTTTTTTTTTCATACTGTCACCAGTCAGTGTCCCTGATCACCGCCATGCCAGTTATATGAAGACGCTGTACTGCACAGTATGTAAAAAAAAAATAGTGAAAATAATTTTTTGCATTTTTTCATTTTCCGAAAAATGACAAAAAAAAAACAACTTCAAAAAACTCGCCATGCCTCTTATGAAGTACGTCGGACTGTCTACTCTGCAAAAAGGGGTCATTTGGGGGATATCTGTACTGTTCTGACATTCTTGGACCTCAAGAAATTAGATTGGCTGTCAGTACTTCAGGATTGATCAATATTCAGATCTATCCCATAGTTTGTGAACTCTATAACTTTCCTACAAACTAAAAAATACATCCTAATTTGGGTTATTTTCACCAAAGACATGTAGCAGAATACATATTGGCCTAAATTTATGAAGAACAATTATTTATTTGCAAACTTTTATAACAGAAACAAAGAAAAATGTGGTTTTTTTTTCAAATTTTGATAATTTAGCAAAAAATAAAATCCCGGTGATTAAATACCACCAAAAGAAAGCTCTGTGTTGTAGTGTAGTGTGTGAAGAAAATGATCAAATGTTAGTTTGGGTACAATGTTGTATGACCGCGCAATTGTCATTCAAACTGTGAGAGCACTGAAACCTGGAAAATGGCCTGGGCAGGAAGGTGTAAAATTGCCCGGTATTCACATGGTTAAAAACGCTAGTGTGCATGGAGCCTAAATGAGAAAGAAGTAAATAAACATAGGCACTAGGCTCACAAGTTCATGCATTAAATAAAAATAATTTCCATGGTCACTGTGATTGGAGACAAACACATATATGTGGGCCTTTTTTTAAAAGGTACTATATATGTTATATTCAAAATGTGGACTTGATTGAAGTATGGGTATTATTTGACTTCATTGGTTTGGAGTTTGATTTTTATTTATACAAACACTTATAAGGCTAGCTCCTATCTTTATTTAGTTTTTTCACAATAAATCCTGACAGGGGTTTTAAAAAAATTGTTTTAGATATACTTTAACCACTTCCCAACCAAGCTCATATAATGTCCTCCAAGACGCGCCCTCCCACGCGACCTACGACCTGATCACGTGATGTGGTAAAAAGCTAATCACAGTGGCCTTTTACCATGTGATCAGCTGTATCCAATGACACAGCAGTAAATGCAGTTGCCGGTTATCAGCTGCACTTTCCTCACGTTGCCATAGAGTGAGGAAAGTACTGCCAATAACCGGCAATTGTCAGAGGACGGATCGGCACCGATCATCAGGGCACTGATGACCAGTGCCCTGATGATCAGTGTCCAGCACTGCCACCCACCAGTGCCACCCACCTGTGCCCAGCATTGCCACCCACAAGTGCCCAGCATTGCCTAGTAGTGCCACCCACCTG